AGAAACCGAAAGGGGAAGGGGAAGAAATTAGAGGCGGAGAGAGCAAGAGGGACCGGGATCAATGAAACCACAGAAGGAGAAGGAGAGGGAGCCGGAGAGGGGCTGGGAGGAGAGCCGTTAGAGACGCAGGCGGCTCAGTCAGAAGCTGCTCCCAGTAGAATCTCCGTTTCCGCTTTGTTAATAATTTATCCCGCTGCAACTTTTCTTACCATTAAATAGGAAATAATTTGTTAGGGAGAATTCCCCGGGCACCCCGGCTTTCTCCCTGGAGCCTGGGGGAGGAGAGCTTGTCTCCGTGCCCTTCTGCCCAGCAGCGTGGGGACTCAGGAGCGAGCAGGATTTAAGACTTAGGATGTCTGTGTCAAACCTGTCACCCACTCCCACTTATCTCATGAATGGGGAAACTGAGGCACAGAGGGGGCAAGGCTGGGCCCAAGGTCACACAAGGTGTTAGGGGAAGTCCCCTGCATCCATGACCCCAGGGGGCAGGGTGCTTGCTGGTTTACATGTTGCCCAAGACAGCAGAGATTCTCCCCAGAGTTCCAGGAGCTGCAGCCATGGCGGGGGTGGGGCTAGCACTGCTGCCTTTCCACTCCCTCCCTGACCTTGGCTCCTCCCTGAGCCCCCAAATTTTGTAAGAGCAGAGCTCAGCCTCCTCCCTCAGCACCCCACACTCTGAGCCTCTGCTTGGCAATCTCTCGCCTCCCACCTGGGACACAGCAGCTGCCTGCAGCCCCCCAGTGAGGTTGACAACTCGGCAGACAGGTTCAAAAAAAATCTGTCAGCTGCTAAACTGTTCCAGGCCTGCCCACATGCCTGGGTGGCAAAGAGATGGGCTGTCTGCCTCCCCGGTGGAACCTGTGTCTCGGGAGAGTGGCACGGGCTGGGGGCGGTGTCGTCCTTTCCCTTTTGGGTGAAGGGCACAGTTTCCCAACTTGTCTCAGAGCTGGGGCTTCTTGTCCTGCTGCAGAGCTCCGTGATCTCGGGACGTCTCTCAGCCTTTTCTTGTTTGTAGAATGTAAATAAAAGGATTCCAGCCTTCAGGATGGCTGAGCGGGGGTGGGGTGACTCCCAAGGGGTGCTCTGGGCAGGGCGGGCTCCGAGGGCGTATGGCAGAAGTGGCCAGTCTTCCTGTTGGTTGGAGCCACAGGGCCAGACCACGGTGATGGCGCCCTCCCTGCATCCAGACCAGCTGTTGAGTGCCACCAGGGGGCTTGCCACATGGCACCGGGTGTAATTCTTACAGCAACTCTGAGGGGTCCAGGTCATGGCCTTCATTGGACTTCCATTCATCCCACAAGACCTCCCAAGTGCCCAAGGGATGCCAGGAGCTGGGCCACAGTGGGAACGGAAGTGGAGGAGGCTGCTGCCCCCGGGAGCTAGCCCTCTAGCCCAGAAGCTCACTGGGCAGGGGAGGTGAGCTATCTTCTTCACGACTCTGGTGGCTGTCCCTCCACGGGCTCCTTAGTTAGTGGCCTGGAGGTTCCAGCAGCTGGACTTCCCAAGGGCACCCTTCCCTCCGTCCCTGCTGCACTTCACCTTCCCATTCAATTACGTGTGTGCCTACAGCTCGTCTACGGTGTTTACAACCTGGCCTCTGACTCCAGCTGTAAGAGCAGAGCTCAGCCTTTGCACAGAAAATAGCATAAAAGCAAAAGCATTTAGGAGACGGAGGTTTCAAACGCCTGACATAAAATGGCCTCTCCACAGAATATCTCGTGCCAGACATCTCCTGCTTAGTGTCTGTGTAGGAGACTCGTCCCCACCTGGCTCCCTGGTGCTCTTGGTCCAGGCTGGCTGCTCTACCTCGCATTTCAGGGAACTTGTCCCTAGAGACGGAGAGCTGCAGATGGCCGGGGCTGGGTTTCCCCCAAGATTCCCCAAGSTTGGGTCCCCTGGCATCCAGGAAGGTGATGTGGGGCCCATGTGTACCCAGTTTTCCATCTATAAGGTGGACATAGCAATAGCACCAGCCCTCCTGGGGGGACATGCAGTGCRGATCGGTGGGAAGCACCAGACCAGCCATGTGGCGTCTCTGCTGGGCTCCTCTAGTCTGCAGCTGCCAAGGTGGTGCACGGTGCAGCCTCACGACTCCTCCCTGGGGGTTGCCGGGAGACTCCTGGGGCTAATGTGTGTGAAACCGCTGCTTAAGAACAACTGCTACCATTTGGAGGCATTTTCTCCATCTTTCATACTTACGATCTCACATGATATCAGAGGARGAAACAGGTTCAGAAAAGTAAAGTGACTTTCTCAAGGTCACACAGCCTCCAAGGATAGAGCCGAGTGAGTCAGAACTCAGGGCTTTCAGACCCCAGAGCCCGTCTCCTTAGGGCTGCAGCCTCCAACAGGGGACCTGGGGCTCCGTGGGTCCCTGGAAGTCACATGGGAAATGTAGTGGGTCACTGCATTTTTTGGAGGGGGCTTCGGGCAAACTGGGCTCATCAGCAGCTCCATCCCTGTGTCCCCCCCAGGGAAGGACAGGAAGAGGGCCAGAGCATGAGCCGTGCTGTCTGGGGTGAGGGTGGTGAGCTCTGTGTGGACGTGGCCTTTCTGGGACACACAGTCCATGCTCCTAAATGGTGAAATGGAATTCTGAGTCCTCAGGGTGGAGGGAGGCGGAAGAAAAGGAAGAAATGGGAGAGGGAGAGGGAGAGGGAGGGCTGGGGTGGCCACCGCCTGGGTTTACTTCTCCTGCTGGCTGTTGACAGARCCCCCCTGCAGCAGGTGCGGGCTGGTAAACACTCAGGCTGATTCATTAGGTTCTGACCATCTGCTTCCTGGGGGCCACTGGGCCCTGCAGGTTGGGACAGAGGCACATTGGTGGCAGCCAGGTGGAGCCCCATCTCCTGGCAGAGCTGGCTCCAAGTCTTCCCTTGGCAGACAGGCTGCCGGGAGCAGAAGGGGCTCTGAGGGGTCCCATGTCCCCCTCCCCAGGGACCATCAAAATAATGGGCAGGGCAGGGGACGGGAAGTCAGGGGGATGGAAGAGGGACCAGGGAGGCTAGGTGTGGCTGACTCACCGCCGTTGGGGTCAACAGGAACACTGGCACTCAACATGAGACCATTAGCATCACTACAGTTACCATCGTGTCATTAATTAGCTACTATTGCTAATTAATATAACAATAACAGGAGCCACAATCTAGTGGGCAGTTTCCAGGTCCAGGCCCTTCACGGAGGCTTCACTGTCCCAGGGGAGGGAACTGGCTCACGGACTGAGTCAGGTAAGCAGGGCCACCCGGAAGGCCCTGAAAACAGGGAGAAGGGACAGTGGCCAAGAAGCAGAAGCCCTGAGGTAAGGGGACGTGGGAGCCAGGGGACAGCTTCAGGGCTGGGTTGAGAGGACCTTGCAGGCCAGCACATGCCCCTGGTCCAGCGGGCAGAGAAACCCGGCTGTGGAAGAGGCCCAGCGATAGCCTCTGCCCGCCCCTCTTGTTCACCCAGGAGGGGCTGCTGTGAAAAGTGCCACAGGCCCAGTGGCTTCGGAGACAGAAAGGTGTCCGTGCTGGGGGCTGAAGTCCCGGGTCAAGGTGCYGGGAGSCTGGCTCCTCCTGAGGCCYCTCTCYGAGGCCCCCAGGTGGCYTGGTCTCTGTGGGCCCTGGTATTTCTGGGTGCCCACACTTGCTCTTCTTAAACAGACCCATCCGGCTGGAGAGGCCCACCCCTCATTTAATTCAATTGCCTCTTTAAAAACTCTGTCCCCAGATGGTCCCGTTCTGAGGTACCAACACGTGGATTTGAGGAGACACAAGTCAGCTCCTAAGAGGGCAGGGGGCGGGGGCAGCAGAATAGGGAGGTGCAAGGCACAGAGCCTGGTGCAAACTGTGCCAGCCCCAGAGCCGGGGCAGCTCTCAGGGCGTCTGCCCAGGGCTCCTCCTCCTACCAGCACAACGCTCGGTCTACCCTGGACTTGTGCCCTCCCTGGCTGCCATCCCTCACAGGCAGGCCTGTCTCACCCCAGCGCTCGGCCTTCTCATCACCAGGCCTGGCCTCGGCCACTCCCAGGGCCTCTCAGCCTCCCCATTCAGGACCGCAGCGCGGGATGGGCTGTGACTGGCCTCGTCACAGGTGTCAGCCGGAGCAGGTTCCCTCTACCTGCCATGGTGACAGTAAGCTCACCGCAGTATTGGTCCCTGAAGATGTGCAGGGCAGGAGCGGGAGGAAGACGGGCACCAGGCAGGGCAGGAGCAGATCCGAGGCACCCATCCTGCCTGCCCTGGGCCTCAGTTTCCCCATCTGATCAGTGAGTGTGGACTCAAGGGTGAGTTCTTTGTACCTCAAAGTGTGCAGATCCCATGAATCAGCAGGGACAGGCCACGTGGAGTGGGCAATGCCACCATGGGGTACCAAGGACATATCTATTTTAGTCAAAGAGAGTTTTGTGGATCCTGCCTCAGTGAACCCCTGGGTTGGCCCTGCTCACCGAGGGGCCCTGGGCCGTCTGGGAAGCGGTCCTCCACTCCCGAGGATCAAAGCCGTGGCCAGAGGCAGGCTGCAGTGCCACCAGCAGGGGCAGCAGGGGTGCCGAGTCAGCCCTTCTGAAGGTGATGCATCCGCTCCCCCCCAGGGGGCCAAATGGCTCATTTGCCAGTGAGAGGTTTTTAACTCAGATCCAAGCCATTTTGCCTCTGAGCAAACCAGACCCCTGAAATATTTATCAAAGGGCTGTAAGTGGTCTGAGGCGCTGTGCGGTTGTTAGTGACCGTGGGTTGTTTTCTTTTTCTTTCTTTTTTTTTAATTAATAGATCTTATTTTTTAGAGCAGTTTTAAGGTTGCAGAAAATTAAGCGGAGAGCACAGAGTGCCTAACACCCCGCGTCTTTCCACCCTGACGGTCTCCCTGATGTTATGTTATTGGTGTGGGGCTGGGCTCTTCCTGATGCCCAACCAGAGGCTCTGTGATGGCAGGCAGACATCTGGGCGCACCGGCAGGGGCTGGCTGTGGGGCTTCCCAGGCCCTGGCAGCCCGCCCACCCTGGCCTCCTCTCCACCCCGCAGGAGAACCCCTACCTGTGCAGCAACGAGTGTGACGCCTCCAACCCCGACCTGGCGCACCCGCCGCGGCTCATGTTCGACCGGGAGGAGGAGGGGCTGGCCACCTACTGGCAGAGCATCACGTGGAGCCGCTACCCCAGCCCGCTGGAGGCCAACATCACCCTGTCGTGGAACAAGAGCGTGGAGCTGACGGACGACGTGGTGATGACCTTCGAGTACGGCCGGCCCACGGTCATGGTCCTGGAGAAGTCCCTGGACAACGGGCGCACGTGGCAGCCCTACCAGTTCTACGCCGAGGACTGCATGGAGGCCTTCGGCATGTCCGCCCGCCGCGCCCGCGACATGTCGTCCTCCAGCGCCCACCGCGTGCTGTGCACCGAGGAGTACTCGCGCTGGGCGGGCTCCAAGAAGGAGAAGCACGTGCGCTTCGAGGTGCGGGACCGCTTCGCCATCTTCGCCGGCCCCGACCTGCGCAACATGGACAACCTGTACACGCGGCTCGAGAGCGCCAAGGGCCTCAAGGAGTTCTTCACCCTCACCGACCTGCGCATGCGCCTGCTGCGCCCCGCGCTGGGCGGCACCTACGTGCAGCGCGAGAACCTCTACAAGTACTTCTACGCCATCTCCAACATCGAGGTCGTGGGCAGGTAAGGCCCCCTGGGGCGCTGCTGTCACCCGGTGCCTGGGACATTACCTGGTAACCAAGGGGTACCTGGTGCCTGGGATGGTATCCGATACCCACGTGGGTACCTGGTACCTGGATGTCACCTGGTACCTGGAATATTACCTGGGAGGTTATCTGATACCCAGGATGGTACCTGACATCTGGAACATTACCTGGTACCCAGGATGTTATCTGGTTGCTGGGACATCACCTGAGTCCCAGGATGTTACCTGGCCCAGGACATTATCTGTCACCATGGCCACTAACTGATTACCGGGCTGTTACCTGCTTTCTGGATGTTACCTGGTTCCAGGGACACCACCTTGATCTTGGCATGTTCCTGGTTTTGAGGATGTTGCCTCCTGGGATGCTACCAGGTGTTAGCCAAGGGGACTGCCTTTGACTCCTGAGGCTGTGCACACAGAAGCCTGGGCTTCAATCAGCGAGGTGCTCTTGTGGATGAGAGTGTCTCCTGGGGCCTAGGGACACTGGAACTGGCAGCATGGGTGAGGCTGAGCTAAAGCCTGGTGCTGAAGTGCAGGGGATGTCCATGGAGTCAGTGGGCACTTGTGTTCAGGGGTTCTCAAGACCCCCCCCCCAGGCTCACTAGAAAGAACTCTGCAAAGCCGTTATGCTTGAGGTTATAGTTTGTTACAGCAAAAGGAGACACACTGAAAGCAGCACCGGAAGAGAGTCCAGGGTGGGACCAGGAGACACCAGGTACAAGCTTAGGGCTCTCCTTTCCTAGCAGAGGCATGCCAGCAGCGTGGAATCCCCCCAGTGAGGCATGACCATGGTGTGGTCCATCAGCAGCCAGGGAAGCTGGCCTGAGCCTTGGCATCCAGGGTTTAACTGGGGGGTTGATCACATCTGCATGGCTAGATGCCTGTGTGGTTGACCTTAGTCTCTGGACTCTCCAGAGGTCAAACTACATGGCCCAAGACCCCACCAGAAGTCATATCACTAGCATAGACTCTGCTGTGCCTCAAGACCTCAGGAGAACATAGCCAGGACGCTCCAAAGGCTTGGAAGTTACACATCACCTCCAGGGGCTGGGCCAGGGTCAGACCTTTCTTGGGAACACAGGGTGTGGGCAAGTTAAAACTACTAGCTCTCGATGCACAGTTCTGGAAAAGGATGTGTTTTGAGGACACTTTGTAGGGAGGCAAGACTCTCATGGAAGGCAAGCACCACCTGTGATTCTCAGAGCTGTTGTTTAGACTGTGGGTGTAGGTGATGACCAACTGGTTCTGCACGTCCCAGGCCGTTTGTTTATTTGGCAGATGCTCTGCTGGTCTGCAGGGGCAAGGACCTCATCCCTGAGCCATCTGTAGAGGGGGCTGCTGATTCTGCCTCCTGTGGATCGTGATGAGGGTGAATGAGTTTAAGTTGGTGAAGTGCTCAGAACAGGGCCTGACACACAGTGCATGCTTAAAAAAAAAAAAAAAGTATTGAATAAAATATATACTGTCCAAAATAATGGCATGAAAGGACTGGGGCTGCCGAGGGAGGCCCGGGGGTGTTGAAGCATAACTGGGGCCAGGAGCACAGTGTCAGTGGGCGTGGGCGGGGCTACGCCCAGAACCCAGCTGGGACAGCAGGCCCTGGGCATCCCTCCACAGCAGCTCTAAGTACTAACCAAGTGTGTAATTCCTCACAAGGGGGAGAGCAATTTGCTGCATGGTGTGCATAGCATAATCCTATTTTCGTACAGTATGTAATAGGCCTGTGTGTATAATTTCCACATCTTAAACAGGCCTTGCAAAGAAGCAGGTCTGGGCTCAGGCAGAGCTTTCCGGTGTGGGGGAAGCTGGCCGCCCATTGGCTGGCTGGYGACAGGCGCGATCTGTGAGTGGGTGGGCAGGGCCAGTGTGGCCTCCTGTTTTCACTTGTTTGCGTTTTGTTTTACTCTGTTTTGCGGTGCTGGGGGTTGAATCCTGGGGATCTCTGCCACTGAACTACACCCCCAGCCCTTATTTATTTTTAAATTTGAGATAGAGTGGCTTTGAACTTGTGATCCTCCTGCATGGGCCTCCAGAGCTGCTGCAATCACAGGCGTGCCACTGAGCCGGGCTCRTTTTATTTCACTCTGACCATGTGTGTGGATTCTGCGGACAGAGGCAAAGGGAGACGTTTGTGGAGTMGCCAGGTTCCAGGCTGGCAGACCAGGGGAAGCAGGTGCACCCACAGGGGTCTGTTTGGACCCCYGTGTTCCTTGCCTTCCCTAAGTTCTACAGGAACTTGAAAGCGGATCTGGAAGCCACCTGTTGATGAGCACTTTGGGGAAGCCGGGGGGCCCCGGTTTTGGTCTCTGGTCTTCCTGGAGACCTATGACCTCTGCCCTTGGAAAGCACTGCACAGTTCAAGGTTGGCCAAGGCTGGCCTCCCCAGCCGGCTGAGCAGAGTCATTGCCTGTTTCCTGGCCAGCCTTGAGCTGCCACAGGGGACCCTCATCTTCTCAGCCTGTCCCAGGCCCTGCCCTACACTTCCTTTGAGGTTCATGCAGCCTCCTGATGCTGGGCCAGCTGCTGGGCCAGGGTGGGATGGTGATAGTCGGGCACCATCTATCACCTTAAACCTCTGCAGAGTGACCACCTTTCTGGGGTCCAGGGCCCACCCCTCTCCAGGCCTGGGTATCCCATCTGTGACAAGAGCCCGCATCTCCCTGGTGAGGCTGCAGGTGACCCCTGCCCACAGCTCCTCTGGGCACCCAGCCCCACAGCGCCCGATTCCATCCACAGTGGAGTAAGTACTCCTCAGGCAGCCGGTTGGCCATGGATGAATCAGGTCTGGCTGGTGGTTTGGCAGAGGCTGTGACTTCCTCATCTTTCCTTCTGGGAAAGCCCCCTGGGCCGGGAATCAGAGGACCCCAGGACAAAGGGAGCAGGGCGGGGCCTGACAGAGGATGCCTGCCGTGTTCCTGGGTGTTCTCAGTTTCTGGGATCGCAGACGGAGACTTTCCTGGGATTCCCTTAGAATTCCATGGTCCCTGTGCCCCCCACTGTGGCCTGCTGGTAATCTGGAAAATATCACCGAACATTTGCTGCAGGATCATTTGCTCTTTGGTGCTGTATGAAGGGCTTCGTGTATAGTTTCTTGTTTGATCAATATTCATTTAATTCCCTGATGGTTCCTGGGGGCCTACGATCCCACAAGCTGAGGAAGAGCATTGAGCAAGCYGGACCTGACCCCTACCCTGTGGAGCTCTCCCTGCAGGGACAGGGCTCCCCTCAGCCTGATGTTTTTGGAAGAGGAATCGCTCAGCTAAACTAAGCGTCAGGCACCAGGACCCAAACCCAAGCGCGTCCAAGCTCAGTGGGTTTCCAGGGCCCTGGAACATGAGGAGCTAGTGCAAGTCAGGGGGCCAGAGGAGAGGGGGACGGACTTCCACAGRGCAACTGCCTGCCCTCCAGCCCTGCCCGCCTCCCTCCTCCCTGCAGGCCCTGGGAGCGGGTGGGGGGTGGTGCTGGCTTTAAACTCTGCAGCTAGTCTGGAGGGACATCTGGACCTGAGAAGTGAGGTCAGCCCCTCACGGTGGAAGGAACAAGGACAGAGCCCTCCCCCACACAGAGACCACCAGGGTCCTCCAGCAGAGCCTCCTGGGACAAGACCCCCACTCCTCCCAAAGGGCCTCCGTCTGGTAGGTTTGGGGGAGCTCCGGGCAGCCGTGGCGATAGAACTCTTCGAGGGGCCCGACGGGTGGGAATGGCCAAGGAGAGTGGCTGGGCGCCCCGACCTCTCTGGGTCTGCAAAACGGGGAGAGAGCAGTGACCTCCACAGTGTTGAGAAGAGCCAGTGACGTGCTGTGTTCATAGAGCTGCGTGATCCCGAGTCCCCTCCCTGGCTTACGTGGCAGGAGAGCGGGAGGGAGAGGCTCAGTGACGGGTGCCACGACCCAGACGCTGGCGCTCAGGAAAGGTGTGTGGAGGCCTCTTGGGTCAGTGGGTGTCGCAGACCCAAATGTCCACAGGGGTGGGAGACGTCAGAGAAACGGCCCAGCAGAGCAGTAGGGAAGGGTGTGGTCTGTGGGGAAATGGAGCCGGCAGGCCCCTCCCAGGAGGGGACGGCAGAGCCAAGTTTGCCAGATCTTCCTCCGATGTCTCAAGAGAAAGCACACAACTTTTTTTTTTTTTTTTTTTGGTCCCAGGGATTGAGCCCAGAGGCGCTCAACCACTGAGCCCCACAGCCCTTTTTGTATTTTATTTAGAGACAGGGCCTCACTGAGTTGCCAAGGCTGGCTTCGAACTTGAGACCCTCCTGCTTCAGCCAGGAGTAGGTCACCGAGCCTGGCAAGTGCACAGCTTTTTAAGAAAAACTTTGAAACTGTTCAAGTAAAACAAAATGCTGCTCAACCCCAGGCCTCACACGCTGCTGGCAGCCTCTGCTTGGGAAGCCCTGGGTCTTCTTGGAGCCGTGGCAGCAGCCACGCTCAGGGGGCCCACGGCAGGGCTGGCCTGTGCAGCCGGGGCTCCGCGTCTGGGAGTGGCAGGGAAGCAGGGGCTGGTCTTTTCTCTCCCCCAGCCTTGCCTCTGAGGCAAACTCCTCTGCCCAGAACCAGCCTCACGGGGCCTTTGCCATCCAGGGACAAGAGGGAGTGGGTCCCCCGATCTGGAGGCTCCAGGCCGGGCAGGGTGGTGTTTGTGGGAGGTGGTGGAGCAAGGTCTCYCCAGGTCTGTGCCCCGCCTGCTCAGCATCGCCTCCAGCGTGGGTTCAGGGAGCAGGAGCAGCAGGCGGCCTTGTGGCCTCGCCCTGGAGAGGGAGGACAYCACCCAGAGGCGGAGGCGAGTGGGCCTGCGCTTGCCGATTGCCCCCGAGGACTGGAAGCCCGGCCGGGGCTTGGCCGCTCGGGGCCCGGGGCTGCCCGGTTCCTCTCTGTTGCTTCTTGACTTGTTCCATAGTGTCCCGTCCCTATTGATGGCTGGTAACTGGAGATGGACGGGCACAGGACCAGAACAGAAAGAGCAGACGGACGGGATCCTCGRG